ACTAATAATCATAGTAATAATAATGGTGATAATAGCCCACGGCGAGAAGGTCTGTGCCACCTCGGTCACGAGGGGGCCCCGGCTCACCCGCATAGCCGGCTTGCGCGCCGGGCCGGGGAAGAAGGGTGTTGACCTACGTGATGGATACGCCGACATGAGGGCGGGAGTGCGGTACTGTGCAGCGTCTTCAGAGCGCCGCGTGAGTACGAGGGGCTACGGAATCCAGCGAATGCGCCGCAATGCGGTCCAAATGCAGCGGAGTGCGTGTCCTCTCGAGCGCTGGTGGGAGGGCAAAGCATGCGCATTCCGCTTCTAGGGCCGCCGACGAGTTTGGCCGAAAGATGTATGCGCCCGACTGCTGGTCCGAGCACGGAGGCAGCCGCGCCGAGGGGTGCACTTCGGGGCCGTACTCGGTGCAACCGCCAACCTACGGTGAGTACACAAAGGTTGGGGTGTGAAGCGCCGCGGGAACACACGGGCCAGGAAGACGGTGCACACAGATGGATACCGCCGAATATGGACGGAGGCGAGTGTCCTCGCTGCGAGTACCCGTCGGGACACATGAACACGCATTCGCTTCTAGGCTCGCCCACGGACGAGTTGTACCACCCCCAGCTGATGGCGAGCGCGGTCGTGGCGCCCGACCGCTTGTTGGTCAGCGACTTGAGCAGGCCGCTCGCGCCGTCAAAGGTGAGCGAAAACACGTCCGACTCCACGACCGTGTCGGCGGCCTCTGCGAAGGCTGGCGCCTCGGCAGCCTCGCCGGCCTGGGCGGCCTCGCCGGCGACGTCGACCGGCGGCGGCGCGGCACGCGCAACCGTGCTCTCCGCGTCCGCCGCCGCGTGGAACGTGGCCAGCCCGACGGGCGGGAGCGACTCGAGGGCGACCATGAGGACGTGGTCTGCCTTATTCTCCAGCCTCGCCTTCGCCTCGGCCACCTGGCGTGTGCTCAGCCCAAACGAGTTGAGGTAGAGCAGCGGCAGTTCCTTCGTTCGCTCGTCGAGCGGCACGACCTGGCTGGGAACCGCCCTTCCAACGCCGTCGGTGACTGACCAGCGGCCGCCGCTGACCGGGATGCGAGCCACCTCCGAGACCGAGTGCGCCAGCGGGTTCCACGCAGCGATCGTGAAGGCGTCTTTGCCGGTGGTGGCGGCGCAGACAGAGATGTTGAGGCAATCGTCGGCGGCGTGGCAGTGGCAGTGGCTCACCGCGCCTCGCTCGAGCTTGAGCAACTTGGACACCGCGAGGCCGATGCCCGCCTCCACCTCCTTCTGGCTGCTCGAGATGCGCATCGCGTAGTCGTCCGTCACGTCCTGCCGCTCGGTGCCCGACATGCCGTCGTGGTGCGTCGCGACGCCGACGGTGCCTTCGAAGCTGTCGGTCCACGAGCTCCCCACGACCGGCGCGTGCTTGGCCGAGGGCCGGTCCACCTCCTTGGCCGTCGTCTGGGTGACCACCTCGAGCTGACGCGCGCTTGCCAGCACGCCCGTCGCGAAGCGCACCTGCCGCTTCAGCGCCGGCCGCGACGTGAAGTATCCGGACCAGTAGTTGTGGGAGTCGTCGGCGAGCGGGAAGATGTCGTCGGTGCGCAGCTCGTAGGTGCCGTTCCACCGCTTCTTCTGGTCGACGTAGAGGGAGGGCGTCGAGTAGAAGGCGTTGACGCTGCCGTTGAGGTTGACATAGTGGATGAGCTTGTCGAGGTTGCGGTACCACTGGTCGGCCTACGTGCTGAAGACGCCAACCTCAGGGCGGGAAGACGTTATTGTGCAGCGTATTCAGAGCACCGAGCGAATACAACGGAGAAGAGTCCAGTGAATACAGCGGGATACGGGTGAATACAGCGGAAGACGTGTCCTCTCGGGCGCTGGCTGGGGGACATGAACACGTATTCCGCTTCTAGGCTGGTCGGCGTTCTGGTACTGGAAGTCCGAGCCGAGCGCCCAGATCTGGTGCTCGGCGTCCTGGGTGTGGCTCGCCTGCTCGCGCGCGTTCTGCACAAACTTGTCCACCCACTGGTCGACGTTGTAGTCGAAGAGGGCGGGGTCGTCGTTGACCTGCGCGCCCGACCCCTCGAAGCTAAACCATGAGGAGTAGCCGCCGGCGCCGCGCCCAAAGAGGTTGCCCGCGAAGGTCTGCGCCGAGCTGCCGAGCGACCTGCTGCCCTGCCACACCCACTCGAACCCGTTGGTGCCCTGCTTGCGCTCGTACCGCATCGTGCGGTCCTGCCAGTCCATCCTCCCCCAAAAGAGGCTCTCCATGCCCGCCTCTGCAGAGAGCAGCCACGCCTGCGTGTTGCTGTGCCCGAACGGGTCGATCTGCCACGTGCCCTTGGGCGCCGCCTCGGGGCCAAAGTGCTTGAAGATGAACTGGTGCCCGCGCGTCGTCTGGTCCACCATCGCCGTCCAGAGCGGACTCGCCTCGTCGTGCATGCACCAGCCGCCGTTGATGAACTCGAGCTGCCGCCGCTGGACGAGCCTCGTCGCCGTCGCCCGCTTCTCGTCGGGCGCCTGCTCCCACCAGCGCGCGAAGAAGGCCGTCTCGACGTAAATGAACTTCCGGTTCGGGTCCGCCGCGAGCGTCGTGATGACCGTGTCGATGACGTAGAAGACTTCGCTCGCAAAGTATTGGTCGACGGTGACCTGCCAGCCGGTGTCGTCGTGCGTGTGAGGCACCAGGTGGACGTTGATCTTGCCGCTGACCGGGCCGCCGCTCGTGTTGTACTTGCGATCGGGCGGAAACGGGTACGGCGCCTCGCCGCGAGTCTTTGGGTCCTTATGCCGGAAGAGCTCGATCGTCGGCGTCTCCTCTCCGAGCGCGCCGGCGGTGCAGAAGGACTCTTCCGGCTGGGCGAGGCCAGTGATGACCTTCCCGGCCGCGTCGTGGCAGCCGTTGGCGCGCACGCGCTGCGCGAGCAGGGCGAGCGTCGGAAGTAGGCGGCGGACAATCATGATTTCCGACATGATGGCCGGCGCGAGAGGCGTGAGATGGCCGGCACCAGGTTTTCTTCTTTTGCCGAAGATGGAGTTCTCTCGAGGTTCTCGAGAGAGAGAGAGAGAGAGAGAGAGAGAGAGAGAGAACCGCCAATGGCCGTTATCCGTTAGTGCGGACGTCGCCGCGGCTCGCCTCTGCCGCGGCGGCTGCTGCGCGCACGCGGCGGCGCCGCTCTCTCGCGAGACGGCTGGCGACGCGGCTCGCCGCCGACGTACGGTGCGCTCGTCCGACGGTCCGCAGCGTGGCGTGCGCGGCGCTGAGCGCCGCTCTGCGAGCGCCTCTGCGCCTGCACTGCCTGTCTCTGTTGCTGTTGGTGGTGGTGGTGCTGCTGCTGCTGGTGCCGAAGCCCGACTGGGTGGCATACACAGACGGGTCGGAAGACCTAGGGAAAGCAGGGTGGGCCTATGCAGTACTCATCGGGGGCGACGCCATCGGCGATGAGGGCGCGTCGCTGGCGAGCGAGGGCTACGGGCCAGTTGTCACTTGGGCGGCGCACCCAGCCTACCTCGGCGCGCGAAGGCATACCAACAACACGGCGGAACTAACCGCCCTAGCCGAGCTCCTCCGGGCTCTCCTGTCCTCGTCACAGCAACGAGCGGGCTCACGCGGAGTAGTTCGCACCGATAGCGAGTACGCGGCGGCATGCATGATGGGGCGGGTGACCCCCAAAACGAACAGACAGCTGGCGGAGCGCCTTCGGTCCCTTTGGCAACGCCTTCGCGCCAAACACACCGTGACGTGGAGACATGTGAAGGGTCACAGCGACAACAAATGGAACGACTACGTCGACGAGCTAGCTGCTCGCGGCAGGCAGGGTGACAGAGGCTCAAACGCTGCCGAGTGGGCGGACGACACCATCCCGACGGACACTCCCGACGAGGGAAGCATCGCGGAGGGGGGCGACAGCACGGTACCATTGGACACGGAGCAGCAGGCGGCGGCCGGGACTCGGAGAGGCAAGATGGTAGCGACACCGACTGTGGGCCTGCTACACCAACGGCTACAACCCCAGCCAGCCCTGTCAGCCACCCTCGTCCGCCACCGACCCTGAAACCGCGCATCCGTGTCAGAGTGAGCTCTATTCTGAATTGGAACTAGCCTGTGTAGTTGAGCCGTGCGGCGGAGGAGAGCGGCGGAGGCGGCGTCTCCTGCGGTAGAGGCGGTCCTCGAGGCTGCCGCCGCGGCCATGTGGGAGGCTAGCATGGTGTCGGCCCTCTACCGCCTTCTTGCTCTCGCGCCCCAGGACTGGGTTGATTGATTGATGGGAAGGCGAAACACAGTCCGACCAACGACCCTGGGACACCAACGCGGTATGGGTGGACGCTAGACGGGCGATGACGGTCACACAGGAGCGACACACAGAACCACAAGACAAGACACTCAGCCAAAAACTGACTGCCACACATCCTGAGCGAACTTCCCTAGTCACCCGCGGCCGGACTCCATCCGGCACGCGTCGCTGGGCGCTCAGAGCTGCGTCCCCTGCTCGCCACCCCGACGCCCAAGGCGCCCGAGCGAACGACAAGCGGCACGCGAAGACTGGTTGCAATCCCGCCGACCGCCAGGCCGCGGGATGATGCGTGCGTGGTCTCGTAGTGGGTCTCGGAAGCTCTCCTCTTGGGCTAGGAGCCAGCCCCTCTCCCTTGCCCCCGGAACACTGTGTCCGAGTCGAGGCGTGTGCTTGCCGGTCGACGGCCGCGCGCGGTTGGCATTGTGACGAAGGTTGCGCGCGGCCGCGGCGCGCCCGCCATGGTTCGGCGCGGCGCGCCTACCAGCGGCAGTTGTCGAGGCACGGGAACACTTACCCGGGGTCATCCTCTGAGCCTGGTCGTCGGCGCCGCGATGCCACGGCGGCGCATTGGAGGACGTGCCACCGGGCGATGAATAATTAGGTGAGGACTTGTCCCTCAAGCAATTAATAATACGTGGAAGGGAAGGGCAGGGAAGCGGACTCCCGCAATGTAAATGCATGGCCGGCCGACCCCCCAAAGGACAGGAACCCACCCCGCATGGCCGCGGAGGGGGCCACGGACGACGAGGTCTCGGGGTTCGTGCGCTCGGTCTACACGCTGCTGCGCGTGTGCGACGCCGAGATCGCCGGCTGGTCGCACGACGGCCTCCAGGTTGTCATCTTCGACCCCGCGCGCTTCGCGTCCGAGCTCTGCCCCAAGTTCTTCCGCCACCGCACCTTCCAGTCGTTCACGCGGCTGCTCAACATGTACCAGTTCCACAGGGTGCCATCGGCGCAGCGCGACTCGAAGCACGTCGTGTTTGCGCACCCGAACTTTCAGCGCACGCGCGAGGACCTCCTGCCGCTCATCCAGCGCAAGTCCTCCTCGGCGTGCCGCGCGCCTGACTGCGGCGTGTGCAAGGAGTGCCGCGACAAGCCCAAGTTTGGCGGCGCGGGCATCCGCAAGAAGCCATGCATTGGCCGCATCTGCATCGGCGGCGGCGCGGCCGCGGCCGCGGGCGGCGCAAGCGGCGGCGCCGGCGCAGCCTCCGTCGCTGCCTCGTCACATGCTCCGGTGGCAGAGGCTCCGGTGGCAGAGGCTCCGGTGGCAGAGGCTCCGGTGGCAGAGGCTCCGGTGGCAGGGCAGGCGTCGGCGGCACCGCCGGGCGAGGCGGCAGAAGGCGCAGCCGCTGCCGAGCCGGTGGTGGAGGAGGCGCCGGCGGCGCCGGCGGCGGCAGGGGCAGAAGAGCCGGCGCCGCCGGAGGAGGGAGCGGCGGCGGCGGCGGCGGCGGCAGCGGCGCCCGTGGCGGTTGCGGAGGGTTTGCGTCTGCATTTGTCTAGCAGCAGCATCACGGGCTACAAGGGCGTGTACTCGCGAGACGGCCGCTTCCACGCGCAGCACAGTGTGGGCGGAAGAAATGTCCCACTAGGCCGCTTCGATACGGCGGTGGAGGCGGCGGTGGCCTATGCGCGTGCGGCCGGCGAGTACCAGCCTCCAGCTCCTCCGACGGTGGCGACAGAGGCAGAGGGGCTGAAGCTGCACCTCTCCAGCAGCAACGTGACCAGCTACAAGGGCGTGTACAAGCACCCATCCGGCCGCTTCCAGGCGGAGCACTATGTGCGCGGAAGGCAGGTCCACCTCGGCATCTTCGACACGGCGGTGGAGGCGGCGGTGGCGTACGCGCGGGCGGTCGGGGAGGCGCCGGAAGCGGGCTCGGCGGTGGCAGCAGCAGCAGGGCAGGCGTCGGCGGCACCGCTGGGTAAGGCGGCAGAAGGCGCAGCCGCTGCCGAGCCGTCAGTGCAGGAGGCGGCGGGCGCGGCGGCGGCGGCAGGGACAGAGGAGCCGGCGCCGTTGGAGGAGGGAGCGGCGGCGGCGGCGGCGGCAGCGGAGGCGCCCGTGGCGGAGGCGCCCCTGGTGGCGTACGCGCGGGCGGTCGAAGAGGCGGCGGCGGCGGCGACAGCGGCGGCGGCGGCGACAGCAGGGGCGGTGGCGGCGGGCGCTGAGCCGGCGGGAGCCGAGCCGACGGGAGCTGAGCAGCAAACTCGCTCCTCCGACCGCGGCGCGCGCCCGGTCGTGCGCTTTGAGGCCGGCCCGGCGCCCGATCCGTGCGAGATCGACCTCTCCTGGCTGGAGCTGCTGCCGCCTCGCCTCCTCAAGCCGCTCTGCGATCAGAAGGGCCTGAGTGTGGGGTGGGACAGCTCGGAGGCTCTGGCGAAGCGGCTGCGCGCCAGCGGCGGCCTGAGCGGGGAGCAGCTCAAGGAGCTGTGCGATGCTCCAGAGGTCGGAGTCCAATCATACGGCTCCAAGGCGGAGATCGCGCAGCGCATCGGCGCCAAGCTGGCGGCGGCGGCCAAGTCCTCCTCCTCCGCGGGCGTCGGCGGCGGTGCGGCCGCGGCCGCGGGCGGCGCGAGCGGCGGCGCCGGCGCAGCCTCCGTCGCTGCCTCGTCACATGCGCCGGTGGCGGAGGAGGAGGCTCCGGTGGCAGAGGCGGAGGGCTTGCGCTTGCACTTGTCCAGCGCCGCCGCCACCGGCTACAAGGGCGTGCTCAAGCATGCTTCTGGCCGCTTGCCGTACAGTGTACGGTACGGCGGAACCAAGGTCTGCCTCGGGAACTTCGGCACGGCGGTGGAGGCGGCGGTGGCGTACGCGCGGGCGGTCGAAGAGGCGGCGGCGAAGGCAAACGCGGCCAAGCCCAAGGCGAGCTCCATCATGCGCCGATGCGGGACCTGCCCGGCGTGCCGCGCGCCTGACTGCGGCGTGTGCAAGGAGTGCCGCGACAAGCCCAAGTTTGGCGGCGCGGGCATCCGCAAGAAGCCATGCATTGGCCGCATCTGCATCGGCGGCGGCGCGGCCGCGGCCGCGGGCGGCGCGAGCGGCGGCGCCGGCGCAGCCTCCGTCGCTGCCTCGTCACATGCTCCGGTGGCAGAGGCTCCGGTGGCCGAGGCTCCGGTGGCAGAGGCTCCGGTGGCAGAGGCTCCGGTGGCAGAGGCTCCGGTGGCAGAGGCGGAGGGCTTGCGCTTGCACCTCTCCAGCAGCAACAGCACCGGCTACAAAGGCGTGGCCAAGCATGCTTCTGGCCGCTTTGTGGCAAGTCGCGGGGCCGACGGTATAAAATTCCACCTCGGCTTCTTCGGCACGGCGGTGGAGGCGGCGGTGGCGTACGCGCGGGCGGTCGAAGAGGCGGCGGCGGCGGCAACAGCGGCGGCGGCGGCGACAGCAGGGGCGGTTGAGGCGGGCGCTGAGCCGGCGGGAGCCGAGCCGACGGGAGCTGAGCAGCAAACTCGCTCCTCCAACCGCGGCGCGCGCCCGGTCGTGCGCTTTGCCCCGGCGGTGGCGACAGAGGCGGAGGGTTTGAAGCTGCACCTCTCCAGCAGCAGCAACACCGGCTACAAAGGAGTGCAGAAGCGCGACAATGGCCGCTTTACGGCGCGATACACGGACTGGAACTCTCGGGAGGTCGCAATCGGGAGCTTCGACACGGCGGTGGAGGCGGCGGTGGCGTACGCGCGGGCGGTCGAAGAGGCGGCGGCGGCGGCGACAGCGGCGGCGGCGGCGACAGCAGGGGCGGTGGCGGCGGGCGCTGAGCCGGCGGGAGCCGAGCCGACGGGAGCTGAGCAGCAAACTCGCTCCTCCAACCCCCCTTTCTCGGTGAAGAGGCCGCGGCTTTGGTTCGGGTGTGCGGATGGCGGGGCTTGCCGCTCTGTTGGCGGCCTCTCCGAGTACTTGGTTCCTTCGCCTCCTCCCCACCCCCCTCGCCTAATCTCCCCCCTGGCGCGTTCTCTTCATCAGTCGGCTGGAATGCACGCCCCCATCCCCTCTGCAGGTCTCTTGCGGCGGCTGGGAGGGCCTCGTCGACGGCTGGTACACGCGGACAGAGGTGCGACAAGCCGGCAGCACCGCCGGCAGTTGCGACACCTACTTCTTCTCGCCCGCCGGGAAGCGCTTCCGCTCGCGCGTCGAGGTGGCTCGACACTTCGGACTCGACCAAGGCGGAGCTTGGGCGCCGCCCGCCTCCGCCTCCGCCTCCGCCCCCGCCCCCGCCTCCGCCCCCGCCTCCGCCTCCGCCTCCGCCCGCCAGCCCGGGCCGGTCGCAGGGCTGGGCGGCGACGTGTTTCGGGTCGAGGCGCTGCTCGCGCGGCGGCACGTCGGTGGAGAGGCCCAGTACTTGGTGCGCTGGGAGGACTACCCGCCCGAGCACGACAGCTGGGAGTGCGAGGACAACATCTTCGACGAGAGCCTGATCCGCGCCTTCAATGCCAGCGCCGCGTCCTCGTCCAGCGGCGGCGCCTCCGAGTCGGCAGCAGGCCCTCGCGCCGGCGTTTCTTTTTCGTCCTCCCGGCTTCCGGCCTACCTCTCCACGCCTTCCCCTGGGCGGCCCCACGCGGCGGCCGGGCGGGCGCCGAGTTTGCAGGGCGCTTTGACCGGGGCGGAGCTGCCGCGGTTTGTGCAGCTTGCCTCGGCGGAGGGGGCGCCGGGCGGCGGTGTGCCACCCCCCACTTGCCTTTGCGGTGCGCTGGCCGTGCTGCGCAAGCGGCGCTGGTGGTGCGCCGACGAGGACGGCGGCTGCAGCTTCGAGCTGTGGGCGTGCGGTCGCACCGACGACGGCACCGCGGGCATGCAGCCGCTGTGCGAGTGTGGCAGGCCGGCGGTGTGGATGGGCAGGAGGTGGTGGTGCGTGCGCGCCGATGGCGGGTGCGACTTTGAGTGGTCTCCTCCGCCGCCACCCGCGCCTCCAACGCTGGTGCCGCCCGAGGCGATCGAACGGCAGATGGCGCGTGACACCGCGGCGCTGCTCACGGCTGCCGCGCACGGCCCGCTCAACGCGTGGTCCTTCGTCGCACCAAGCGATTTCGGGCTCGGGCTCTGGGCGCGGGCGCCTCTCCGGCGCGGGCAGGCGGTCGGCTTGTACTCCGGGCCGCGGCTGCCGTGCAGCTTGCAGCGGCGCGGCACGTGCGCGCTTCAGATCCCGGGCGCCGACGCCGCCACTGCCTGCGCTTCGCGGCGTGTCGCTTTACGTGAGGAGGCACGGCGTAGGCACCCATGTCGTCGTCGACGGCGCGAGCGAGAATTGCCCGTTCAGCGTGCCCCGCTGCTGCGCGTCGTACGCCAACCACAGCCGCTCGCCCAACGCGCGGCTCGAGCTGTGGCCCGTGTTGCGCCCCGCACCGTGCGAGCTGCGCCAGCACGTGTCGTCGCGCCGGACGGGACGCGCCACAGCGAGTCGCAATTCTCTCTAGGTGCGAGGTGCGCCAGCACATGGTCCTCGTCGCGTCCGAGCCCATTTCCGCCGGAGGCGAGATCAGGATCGACTACGAGGGAGGAAGCTCTCGCGCAGGCAGCGGCAGCACCGCGTATTGGGGCGCGGAGACGGGGATGGGTGAGCCGCGCGAAGACGGCGCGTGGCGTGCCGTTCGGCGCCACCCTCCGCCGCCTCCGGCCACGTGCGAGGCAGTAGTCGCCGGTTGCCGGCACACGCTGCTTTGTGCGCCCCTTCACCGCGTGTGGTTGTGGACAGGCTGTGGTTGACGGTTTGGCGCGGCTGCAGAGGGCGGCGCGCGCATCGCAGGGCGGCGAGGACGTCGATGCGGCGTCGGCCGTCCTTGCTTGCTCAGTGGCGGACGAGACAGCGGCACCGCTCCCTTGGGGTGGCGAGCGAGGGGGCGACGCGCGCTTGCGGCTGCTGGTGCCGAGTCTAGCAAAGAAGTTGGCCGGGTTGCGAGCGCGCGTCGCGTCCTGCCAATGGGGCATCGTGGCGTCGCACTTGCCTGGACGCACCGGCGCCGAGTGCCGCGAGCGTTGGGCCGAGCTGCATGCGGAGGCGGAGGCGGAGATGGAGGAGATGGAGGCGGAGGAGATGGAGGAGGCGGAGGCGGTCGAGGTGGAGGCGTTCGAGGTGAGTGATGAGGAGGGGGCGCAGGTGGAGTCGGGAGCGGAGGCTATGGAGGTGGATGCTGCGGTGGTGGTCGCTGAGGGCGAGGAGGAGCAGGAGGAAGATGGCGTGGTAGAGGCCGCGGTGGAGGTGGAGGCGAGGAATGCATGGCTGTGACCTGTGTTGCGTGTCTTCGTCTTCTTGATGTGCGCCGAGTCGGCCGGGGCAATCAGTCAGCCGCCTCGGTGAGAACAATACGTCTTTCCACCTTCCACAAAAGCGCCCCTGGCGCCTCTACTAGTTGTTGTTATGGAATTGCGTTTTGTGTGGAGAAGTCTACCTTACCTTACCTCTTACCTGGAAACGCAAACGCCCCCAATCGCCCCCTCAGGCGGGGGCCGCCCGGGGGTCATACGCGACCCGAATTTGTTTGGAGGGCCTAAAAGTTTAAGGTGTTGCTGCGCAAAAGGGGTCGGACACAGGGCGCAGCTCATGCTAAGAGCTAGAATCGAAGCTAGAAGGGGAGACAGAGCGAACAACCACCCTGTCCCGTTATTGCGTACACCAACACAAAAGCTCCGTGACGACTCCGTATCAGCGGGCGGCGGCGGCGGCGAGGGCGTCGAGGGGGGGCTGACCCTGGTCGACGAGAAGACTAATCCTGGAAGATATTTTCCTTCCTTCCTTCCTTCTCCTCTGCGAGTTCATCGCTAACGCGACGGCAGCGGCGGCGACGGCGAGGTGTGGAGGTCGGCGTCCGCAGCGGCGACGTGGAGGGCGGCAGCAAAGGCGAGCTGGCCGCGAGCGGCGGTGCGAGGGAGTCAGACGGCGGCGGCGCCGCCGGCTGCGGTGGCGGCGTAGGAGCCGGCAGAGGAGCAAGTGCTGGACGGGTAGGCGGTGGCGGTGCAGGAGGCTTCGGCGGGGCTGCCGAGCTGTTGCTGTTGCGGTCGCTGCTGCTGCTACTTCTGTCGCTGCTCCAGTGCGGTGCAAGCACCAAAGTCGACCTGCGCGTTCCCGGCGGTGCAAGCTCCACGAACGACAAGCGCCCCTCCGACGGCAGGGCCACGCCTTGCTGGCCCGTCGGCCCTCTCCTTTGCCGCACGGATAACCGCCCTTTGCTGACCTGCTCCGCACCTGCCAATCTGGTCCGCAGCTTCAGCAGGGCGCGGGTGCTGATGGCGCAGAAGCGGCCGCGGAGGAGGAGTCCCGCCGCCGCCAGCGGCAAGGAGGTGTAGAGCGCCGCGTAGATGGCGCCTCGCCGCCCCTCGTCGAAGTCGTCGGCGCGGGCGTTGACGGCCGCGAGCAGCCGCACGCCGAAGGTGAGCATGGTCGCCGAGTGCAAGAGCGCGATGGCGTGCGCGCAAGCGCACATCGCCAAGGTCGGGAGGCGGAGGTAGGAGCGGCGGCGCCACGGCAGCAGGTAGAGCGCCTCGACGTTGAGAGGCGACAGCGCGAGCGCCACGGCCGTCGAGAGGAGCCTGCCGAGAGTCGACGACGCTGCCTCCTCCTTCGCGGCTGGCCACGCCGCCGACTCGTGAGCCTCGTGAGTCTGGCGAGACTGGCGAGACTCTTGAGAGAGCGAGGACGCCGACGAGGGCGTCTCCGGCGAGGAGTCTCGCGGCATGGAGAGAGCAAGGTGCAGCGGGGGAGTCCAGGGGAGCGAGGAGCGGCGGCTCGGGCGACTGCGAGGCAGTGACGGAGGCGGTGACGGCGGTGGGGTTGATATGTTGGACTTGCGGCGCCGGCGGAGAGACGACGGGGTTGCCGGTTGGACAGGGTGGGACGGGGTCGCCGGCGACGGTGACGAGAGTGCGGTCGGCGGAGAGGGCGGCGGCGGCGAGGGCGGCGCGGACGGGCAGGGCGGCCGCGGAGGGAGCGAGCGGCGGAGCACGTGAGCGGCGTACACCGTGAGGGCGGCGGATACGACCAGGACGGCGCTGAGGGTGGAGGCAGAGGAGATCCACCAGTGCGTTCCGAGGATGTCGCGGGCCCAAAAGACGCGGGACGCGAGGAAGCCGTCGGCGACAAGCTGAGGGGAGGAGACGGGGAGGCGGGAGTCAGCGCGCGCGCGCCGGGCGAGCACAGCCACAAGGGGCAGAGGACGGGAGCCGCCGTGTGGTCTGCCATCGGGGCACACACCTGCAAGCTGGCGAGGGG